TAAATGCCCAAACCAAAAACACCAACCTAAACAACACAAAACAAGCAACACTAAAACAACCCACACGAAACAAAGAACGCCTAAACAATCAAAACTAAAAAGCTAATAAAAAACAATGCGAAATATTCAATGCATTAGATAATATTTATATAACACAACATATTAATATTTTAAAATATTGTTTAATTTGTTTTTGTCAATTTTGATATATAATTGTTTACTTATTCTTGTTTAAAATCATGCAGATAATAAGTAACCTAGCTTGTTAAAATTTAACAAAATTGTCATTTGCAATTTATTGTTAAAAAATTCGAAATTAGCACGATTTTAGAGATAAGAATAATATAGATAAGGATCAAAACAAAAATTATTCAATTAAGTATGAAATATGGAATTATGCCCACAATTTTAGGAAGCATCCAAAAGTTTTGAAAAAGTTAACCGGCACACCAGACTGGCATGGGCGGGATTTTCGAAAAAAATTAAAAAAAAAATCAAAAAAGGGTAAAAATCGAAATACAAAAGCGGGAAAATGACTTTAAAAAAGTGGGAAAATGAATTATTTATTTCAAATTTTTTGAATATTTTTTCTTAACTGTATTATATATTAATAGATTACACAATTTATCTTAAAAACTCATTTTATTTTTACATTATCGAAGTTTTATATTTTAATTGCAAGTAAAATAACTAAAGTTGTATAATCATGTACGATAATAATTTGTATATTGCTTAATAACAACCTGAATGGACTAAGACAGTTCAAAAAATTGCGGAAACAGTATTACTTAAAAATGAACCTTCAGGAGAGCGTCTCACTCTCCCTTCGGATCTCTTTCATTAATGCAAACATTACACACATTATTCAAGGGTTTACAATGTAGACTTCCTCTACACTCTACTTGAATAACGATCTGCACTACTACTTATCCGACCACAAATCCCTTGTGGTTTTTCACGTTTGAATCCGTCAAACTCAACAGAATGAACTTCCGATCACTCTAACTTTTTCACTCAAAAAAATACAAAGCATAGATCTCGAGAATATTACTTCTCGTTACAAAATATATGCACACAAAAAAAACCCAGATCCAAAAATCTGTCTCTCCAAAATGTGTCACCGTCCTTTATTCTTGATTCTCATATGGTAAGTCACTCCCAAGAGTTTGCTGCCAAGTTACATTCACATATGGTAAGTCCTTGATTTATTCGATTGGCTCTTCTTTTGGAAGGTCCTATTCACGCGATTGTATCTTGTGCATATGAAAGGAAGGTCCTATCCACAAGCAACTTTTGCTGATACAATAGAGTTTGTGAGGATTGAACACACTAGTTTGCATATATTTAATTTACACTCATGTCGAGGATTGTAACATCATTGAGTGTATTAAATAAAGTGGGTCTCTATTATTATCTTCCAAACACCTCAATTAATTGCCAACAAACATCCACCAAATTGCCAACTAATAACATTAATAACCACAACTTGGCAATTTGTATGGAATCAGACGCGTGAAGAGGTTATTCAATTGGCCAACTTGCACAAGCCACTTGCAACTTTTTATCTATAAATATGTACTTATTGCATTTGAGAAAGACACACAAGAGAAGAGGAAAAGAGATACGAAAGAAAGAAAGAAAGAAAATAGAGAGAGAAAGAAAAAGAGACTGAAAAATCAGTCCAAGAGAATAGTTGAGGGATAAAAATATTAGTGATAAAAATAGAGAAAAAATTATCAGAGAGATAATTTTATTTGTAAGTGCTCAATTATTGACTCCGTTACAGTTCGCCGGAGATCGTAAATCTAGTGTACTATAGATTTCGAGACGATTACCATTGTATCTTTGGGGACGTTACGCCTGAACCGTTAGCAATACACGGGGCGTATCCTGGGCTAAAATCTTTCCATTTTTTCAAGTTGTAATTTATTTTCAGTTATATTGTAATTTTCTATTTTTAGTTTATTTGTAAGAACTGAAAATTACATATCAATTCGTAGGATTCTCGTGTATTTTTGACACCCGGTTTTTCTAACTCCTCCTTGTTTTGTACTCGTTTTTGGGTTCATTCAACCAATTCGTATTCAATAATCGGGACTTTGTTGATTGTGGACGTATTAATTTCAGGTCGTTCGTTTGTTACTTGTGAATTTTTACGTGGATATTGGAACTCTCTCTCGTTGTGATAAATCGAGCCCTCGGTTGTTGTGTTTATTGATGTGGTTTTATCGAGTGAAATGAAACCTCATTTTGTTATTCGAGCCCTGGTTTCGTGATGATTGATATCCGTTTGAGTGTTGAGCTTGATAATCCCTTTTTGAAAACCTTACACTGTTTGTTGTTTACTCGCTGTTTTTTACCTCTAAGACTGGATCATACGGTTTTAAATTCTTCTAGTGATTTAAAGTTCAGTCTCTTAGGTCTCATCTCGAGCAAGAATTAGGTTATTATCAATTTTCTACTAAAAATTATGGCCAAATTTCGATGTTTGCGCGTCCAATTTTCTGGTTTTTCGGTGTTGTATATGGTCTGTATTCTTTGTTGTTTTTGAGCCGTTCGACCCGTTGTTGAGTCGAACCTTATATTTAAACCTCGTGACCATTGTTCTGAGTCTTGTTCCAATACTCCGAGAGTTCCAAATTCCAAAAGAGTTCCACAAACTTCTTAATTGATAAATTTTGATTAAGTACAAATTTCTGAGGAAATTCCGAGTTATTGAGATAAGTATTTTGAGATATTATATTGATTTAAATGTAGGTTTCTGAGGAGTGGAGCCTCACCTACCTACCAAGTTGTAGTGTGGCATCTTCCTGTCGTCGGAACATGTGGGTGTTGATAAACCTTACCATGTATGTTATTCTTTATAATTGTTTGGCTTGATAATCAATGTATGTATGTGAACCGTTAGTCTATGAGAGGTTCTCACGTTGATGGAGTTTCGACATTCTCCTATTTGTGCCTAATGAGTATTCTCCCATTGATGGAGTTCTGACGGTTTAGCTTTCGTGAATGGGCTTGTCCCAACGTTTTAGATGTGATCACATGAGCGTGGGGCTGTATAGGAGGTAGACTAGATTATTTGTGTTCATGCTGCGATTAAGATTTTAAGTCATTATACTGAATAGACTGTATGGCATTCCCACGATGAGTTAGTTGGTATGCTCACCCCAACTAT